TTGCGCCCGAGCACAGTAGCATCGCGCCCGGAGTAGCACTGCGCCCGGAGTAGCATTGCGCCCGGAGCACAGTAGCATCGCGCCCAGAGTAGCCGGAGTAGCACTGCTCGTTCCATGGCAGTTAGCCGCCGTTTTTGTTGATGATTTGTATGTTGAGTCTGGTTGTGGTTCGCCCGCCCTGGTTTTGGGCGGTGATGGTGAAGCATTTGCGCGGCATGGCTGTGCAGCCGTCGTGCCACTGTGTGGTGATGACGCCGGAGGTGTAGTCGAAGTGTAGACCGGACCAAGTTGGGAATGCGGGTGCGACTGTCCAGGAGTTGCGGATGTCGGAAGAGGCGACGATTCCGAGTCCGTTGTTGATCATATCGGTGATGGCCGCGCAGTCGGCGCGATGGCTATAGGCTGTCTGTACGGTATGAGGCACACCCGTGCGATGGTTGGGTCCTGGACTCCGTCCACGTCCTGGGACTCCGACTCCGACGCCAGTCTGGGTGGTGGCAGAGTCAACAATGGTGGTGGAGTGTGCAACGACCACCCCACAGGCGAGATTGAGAAGGGGTTCAAGACGGACACTTTCACCGAGCATGATTCGAACGCAAGGTCTTGGATCATGCAGGTCAGGTTGTACATTGCGGGGTATGAGATAGGTAAGGTGTAATGGTTTAATTATCTTGTTCCGTGTCTGTATTTGGTTAAGGTATTTAGATTTGGCGTTAATGTTATCGAGGATATGTTTATTAATGCTTACTTGATCTTCGAGATGTACAGTCTGTTTGCCACTATTAGTGGCGAAAAGGACATCTTCCATGCGTAGTTTCATCTGCGCAATTACCTTCTCGGAATCTTGACTCGCCCCGCTCTGGAGTCCCACAGCTCCAAGTAGTGCAAGCAAAGACTGCACAGTCGTACTGGCGCCCGTAGTTGTATTAATGAACGACTTGAATGCCAGTCCTGTGAAAAGAAAAAGTATCAACATAGCTACCAGTACTGTGAGCATCTTAAGCCAGAACTGCTCAGTCGATAAATTAACGCCGTTGAGAATCTTGTCCGGTAAAAGCCGAGACAGCAAGAGCTCAAAACCTGCAAGCAACTCTCCCATATCCAGAGTGCCGTCATGGTTGACATCCAATGAGTCGAATAGTTTTTTGGTTGATTCTTTCGGTAATCTAAGTTCCATTTCTTCGATCATATCTTCTAGCATTGAGAAACTCATACCCTGAAATGACACGTTTTCCAACAAGTATGGTATATACTCTGGACGAATGAGCCCGTACTTGTTATAGATCTTCTTATTACTCACGAGGAGCTCCCGGATACGCGGGTCCGTCAGCTCGCTCAAGTGCAGATTAAGACGGAACAAATGACACAATGCACCCGGCCACAGACCAGTGGAGAGCAAGCCGGGAAGGATGTGACAGACTTTTGAGATGAGACACACGTAGCCAATGTTCGGGTCCAGACCAGTGGGATCCATGTTGATCTTAACGTACTGAATGCCACCCACCGCACTCCGACCAGCTTCAGTAAGACCCATGTCCATGCTACTCAAATTTCCCCTACTTGCGTTCATACTTTGCCGATCTTGGCTATGCATCTGGCTTTGCAACTGGCTCTGCACCAAGCTGCTAACCAAGTTGCCACCGCTGTTACCGCCTCCATGGGTCAGGCCTCCAGTAAAGTTGGTGAACAAATTCTGGGGCAGTAGCGAGCTAAGGAGCATAGGATCTTTGGGATGGTCATGCCAGAGTCGCTGGACGCCGGATTCCGCCACATCTACGCCAATGTAGCGCACCAGTCGCTTAAATAGTTCGTAGTCAAGGAAGCCGGCGTAATGGGTGACGAGGTCTAGTGGTGTCTCTCCATCGAGGCTAACTTCACCTTTAAGTCTCACCGTATGGCGCAACGTCAAAACGTTTTGACCGGCATCGCAAGGCTGCAACACCGCCCGCGCCAGTGCATTTGCCACGGGCGCTAGCGGCAGTACTTCCGTTACCTTGATTTCGCTTGGCGCCACACCCGGCTGCGTGATGGCACTCACATCCAAGCAGACCAAGATCCAAAGCAGCCGCGAATGTCGTCGACTCACACTGTGCCCAAGCTCCAGGCACACACGATGGAAACCTTCAAAGCTAAGCAACTGTGTATCTGTTCCAAAAAACAACTCCACACGTTCTATCAATTCCGTCAACTGACTCTTAGAAATATAACCTGGTGTTGCCGACGTTAACTTAGCATGAGACTCTCGTAACACTCGCGGCCAAGATGAGTTAATCACATTCTTCGACCAATCCAAATCGCTTGTCAATAATAAACTCTCTTCCGGGTCGTTACCGGTTTCGAACCCGCCACCTTTTTTGTTCGAAGTCATAGCGTGGATTTCCAAACTACTCACTGGAAGAAGTGAGTCACTTGCATTCATGTTCGCATTTGCACCAGCCCAATTCTCAATAATTGCCGTTGTCTGGTCCTTGCTGAACCGGATTTCATTCTGCTGCAGTGCGTCCGGAATCGTGGCCGAGCGCATGAAACTTAAGTCGCCTATTTGCAACTTCATTAAACAAGATATTACGCCGGCTGTGGGTAACTTGTTGTCAGTAAGCAACAAAATTGCCTCGTCCGCTAAGTCCACTGGCAGGAAGTAGGAACGGTTGCTGAATTGGTCAAAAATTTTCTTCACCAACGTTATGTTCTTCCACTCCACCAGATTCGCTTGCTTGAACTTGTCCGGGTCTTTCAAAGACTCCTTTATCAGCGCCGCCTCGTTACCACTCTGTGTAATCGACAGCACGTCCACAATCAGCTGCTCCACCTCCTCCGTGTCCGTCACGTCCAGCTGCGCAGCGGAACTTCCCGGCAGCAGGAATTGGCGGAAATCGAGACCGCAGAGCGCTAGCAACGCGCGGAATTCATAGAGCCACAAATACTCACTGAAAATTCGTTGCAACACAACCGTGATGTGATCTACGGTCATGAGGCTATTCCCCACAACCTGCTGAATCAGGTTGCCAAGGAAGCGAGCACATTCTTCTGAACGGGGACGGTACATCGTGATCTCATCTCCGGCGCCGGCACTCAGTGCGCCGGTCGCGAAGGTCCCTGGCCCACGGTCGCCAGTTCGAGTCCCGGCGGTGTCCAGGGCGAGGAGGCTAACATGCAGAGAGTCTTCGGCGACCTCACTCTCCCTTAATACTCCACATTCAAACAAAGCTTCTGTAATGACGGAGATTTTGAGGTCGGCTTGATGACGTGTAGCATGATTGATGATAGTAAAACGATCGCGGATTTGGAGGATACGGCGACTACGATAGACGGAGAAGGACTTCATAGCCTGACGAGCCGTGACGGAAACTGGCGAGAGGGAAATCCAGCGGTTCGAAGGGTGCAAATCGGTGGAATGAATTTCAATACGGAAGTCGGACAATCTCGCAGCCTTGAGCTGTATATTAGCCACCATGTCATGGTCGTAGAACTGGCTGATGCTGGTCTGTATACGTGTGCGATCGAACACTCGACGGTGGATGCGCAACGCCGACTCCTGCACCTGTCGGACCATGTCTATATGCAACCCCTTTAGAGCCAGGATGATGCGCTCACCAGACGTGGAGGCTGCGGTAGTTCGTGCACGGTCGTGCAGCAGGTTTCGGTCGTGTCGCCCGAAGATACCTTGAACATAATCACGACCAAAGATTGGGTAGAGAACGGCAAACTGGAGATCTACAACGTTCTGAGCGATAAAAGGCAGAGAGGTGAGAAGGTCGTTCATCTTCGCGCCGCGACTCGAATTAGTGATGGAGCGGTAGATGAACTTGAGTCTTAGCCCGTTGAGGTTAATGCTTGTCGCTTCTTCGCTGTCACTGTCTTCGTCCTCGCCACCCTGATGTTGCTCCAGCAAGTCCTCGTCGCTTTCGACGCCGGGGACCGTGGCGCCTTCGCCCTCTGCTCCGCCGCGAGCGTCGCCGGTGTCGTAGGCCGTGGCAGTGTCGTAGATGGCACAGTAGTCCATGTTGAGTAGTTCGGGATGTTCAGTGTAGAATTTCTCCAAATCTTCGGTTTTGAGCACACGTGTTTCTACTACGTCAAATAAACTACTGTAAGCCACGCTGTCCTTACGACAGACTCGAGCCCAATCTTCGAGCGACTTCTTCGTCCACACACCTCGTTGTTCTTCATCAAAATAATCGAGCACCAAACAAATCTTCATAAACGGCTCCAATAACTCCGGCGAAGACCAGACGGGCACTTTAAAAACCGCCACACTATACCGCTGTCCAGGAACAAGCTGTGTGTCCACTCTAAAGCCCAATCGAGGTCCGTATACCACTCCATCTTGCGTTAACGCTGTATCGAAGCCAAATAACAAATCTTCCAACATATTCCGTTGCGCGCTCACGTCTTGTAAAGAGGCTAAGTGACTATGCTTAGGCAACGCCAAAGTAGGTGGCTGTTGTGGTCTCCCTTCCGCATCGATCGAGAAAGTATCACCACGCGCAACGTTCGCTACCACACGTTGCAGTTCCCACCAGCACACTTCGCGTTTCAACCGCTTTGCTAATGCACGTTGCAACGTGCGCCCGTCCGTTAACATTTCCCATGACCATGATTCAGACGACCCCTCGCGACTCATGCGTCCTTGCGGACCAGGTCCGTAAGGACCCGGAGCAAGGGGTCCTGGGGTGTGAGGACTGGCTCCGTAAGGACTCATTGTATAAGGACTGCCTGTAGGTGATCCATAAGGACCCATGGATCCGTAAGCACCCGTGGATCCGTAAGCACCCGTGGATCCGTAGGGACTGGCTGCATGAGGGCCGGGAGTGTGAGGACTCCCCGCCCAGATATCTTCTTCATCTTCGGAGGAGGCTTTAGTATCCCGGATAAGGACTTCCGTGAGTTGTCTCAATTTCTTCTTCTTCCAATTGGTCATCAGTTCCCGTAGTGCCACACGATTGACACCAGTCCCCGGTCCACCAGTGGTGGCGAGAGTGGCGGGATCAAACTTAAGATTTTGACTCTGAAACCAGCGGTCGAAACAGATCGAGAGGAGCGTTTGTTGATTTTCTTCAATAAAATGTAACACGAGATCGGTAGCCTGATTGTGGTTACAGTAGAGTGTATAAATAACGAACGAAGTACTACCCAGAAATACGGCAAAGGGTAGGAATCTGTTCGAGTTAACTAAAGCACCGACACCGAACCATAGCAGAAAGCTAATGAAGAACGAGCTGAATACGAACATCTGTATATACTGACATATCTGTGACATTATCTTGGAGCATTTAATCGTACGTAGGTTATAGTTATATGGTTCAGTTATTGTATTACCCAATACCACTGTTATCCATACGAGACAGAACACCAAAATCTGCGGGCCCGGAGACGGAATCGACATAAGAAATGCTACCCAATTGTCCGGATTAACTTGCAATGACCACCACCACCAGGGATTCTGCGCTCCATCTTCGGCGGAACCATTTTCATCGAACACGTGTCCACTAAACACGGTTTCACTGAACGGCAGATCTAAAACATACTTGGGTTCCGGTTTCCAGTGGATCGAGTCCTGTGAGGCGACAGTAGTCTTATTATATTGCACGTACAATACCACAAGTGCTATAGGGAACCAAAGGTAGAATGACAGGTTAATTAGAATCAAGACCATGTCCAAGACGGAAGGCACCACTTTGTAAATAATGTCATGGATCTGGCGCTCCGTTAGCAAGCTCTTGTCTAGCCAACTCCCTCCCGACCGTGATAGCCGCCAGGAGGTAGCCGCCACCCCCGGCAACACCACTTTACGTCCATTTGGCGGCGGGTTATCCCCGATCGGGTCTTTCGCACTAATGCCGCGTAAACTAAAGTGCGGAGGAACATCCTGTCCATCGCCATAGAGCCCCAGCACCTCGCCACCTCTGCCGCCGCCGAAAAGCAGCTTGAAAAGTTGCCTAAAGTCAGGCAGTTTCCGTAGCCAGTAAGACAAGTCCTCGTACACGCGCCTCGAGAACAAGCCGTGGTGATTCAGATACACGTCGTTCATCGTCATCCATAACTCGACATCTTCGTTTAGGTGGCAACTCTCGATCCAGACCACGTCCTTTGTAATTGACTTATACACATGAACGTCGCTACTTACCTGCGAAGCAGTGTCCGTCGGAAAAGGGTCAATAATCTTCACCACCTTCGACTGCGTAGAAATAATCATCTGACCTGGGCAATGGTATAGCGTACTGTGATCCACCAGCAACATCCGATCGTCCCTCCCACTCGATGTCGCTCGCAACTGGTTGTTCCTTAACCGTGTCGCCAACAACCGAGCCGCCTCAAAGATACCCACCCGCTCCCGTACCCGCCCCCGTCCCTGCTCTGCCTGGTCGTCTTCTCGAGTATGCTGACGCCCCAAATTTCGTTTTCGGCCAGACCGTTGTCTCCGTCCACTCCCACCTTGGGTACGTGCTGAGGTGGGTCCGGAACTGGCGAGAGGGTACATTTCGCCGATTTCGAAGGGAAGGGGTTTCCGGAGATCCGGACACACTTTGAGCGGTGTGGTGATGACCTCGAGGCCAAGTCCTATTAACGCCTGTTGCGATACATGTTGCATTTCATAACCGTAGGTGCGGCAGAACGTAGCATAGGCGAATTCGAAGTGGTTAAGAGTGAAGACCTTGACAATATTGTGGGAGTTGCTTATAGCTCGAACATTGGTGCCAATGGCAAGTGAGTAATAAACTCTTCTGCTAACACTGTTGGGTTTGAAAGGTACGTTAAGTCCCCAACAGAGGGAGCCTGTGTTAGGCACATTGGGTATGGTCTTAATTATTTCACGTGTGTTCTGATCATGAACATGTATTTCGATTTGCCAAGGCTTAGGTTGCGCATTCCACACCCATTTGAGAACAACTTCATAACCTTCGGGATATGCCAGACCGGGTACATCGTCGAGGAAACGGACTTGGGTATTCTCATTGTATGCGTGATTGCAATATTCGCGAGCCGTGATGGGGTAAAGTCGCACGCATGCGAAGCCCCAAGATGCAGCGCTCTCTCGACCTTTGAACAAGTCGACACGCACTGCTGGATCCCAGCGGACGTTCCATTCGCAGTTCGGTTTTTTTGGGTGATATTCGCGCATAGAACCAGCCGCCCAATCGATGTCCGAGACTTGGCCGCGTGACAACAGATGTCCAGTAACGTCATCGAAAATCATGATGGAAATCTGTGTCGATCCGACAAACTCAATAGCCACTTGTACTTCCCGTCTCTCCTCGTCAGCCAACTTATACACTAGAGGTTTGAACTCGCCCGCAATCTCTCGCACGCTACCTCGACCATCACCACTACCACCAAGTGTGTTTTCGGCGTCGTCCAGGACGGGTACGCCTTCGAGTATAAGTTCAGCGTATGTCTGAATGTTCCAGGTCTCGGCCTGCCACTTGCGCCGTTCCCTTAGGTGGTAATCGCCGGAATGGACCGAGACGCAGAAACGGATCTTGTCGTTGTAACGGCGGCCGGCGGTGGCTGCATGGTCGCTAATGAAAAGGGCGATGTCAGCCAGACGGACCAGTATGCGGTGGGCCATGCTACGGACAATGTGCCTTTGCGCGAACATTTCGAGCGAATTCACTTTCGCACGCCTGCGAAGCAATGCTGAAGTCAGTGCAGCGAAATGCGGGGTAAGACTCACACTGCAATCCTCAGACCACTTGGAAGCACTCACTTGTCGCCCGCTGGCGTTTAAGCACACTACACGGAAACGGTACTTGTGCTGGTGCTGCAACTCGTACTTCTGTTTGCACGTCACGAAGTCGCCACCAGGGTACTTCAAAGGTATAAGAAGACCGAACTGGCGCATACCTAACAAAACCGTGGTAGACACGTCCGCTGGTGTAAAGTATAGCACCTTCAACTTGTCCTTTTCATGCGCCCCCGTTGACCCACGGCGCGACAACAACGTCATGACCGCCTCGTCATCCTCTCGCGTCGACGGCGTTGTCAACGGCGTCGCCGGCGACGTCGACGGCGTTGTCAACGGCGTCGTCTCTTCCACTCCAGGGACCATGGCCGTGGGGGGTTGGAAACGCGGGGCTGCTGGTACGAGGTTGTGGCGTTGATGGTAAATGGTGGAGTTGAGAACGTGAACCGCGATTTTTTCCGTATCTGGTGGGATGGTTGAGTTCCATTTGATCGCGAAGCCCTGGCCAGGGAAGCTGATGTTATTGACGTTGAGGGTCCATAGGGCGGCCTCTTCATCGTTGCATCGGGTTTCGACGATATGCACCAGTCGATGTGAGGCGGCGTTCTCGACATTTTCTAGGTTCTTTTTGATTCGTATTCGGTTCTGTATGCGAGGTAGATAATACATGATAATTGTGCAGCCGCAGAGTATAGACACGAGTAGATTGATGCCCGCTGCGACGGTGAAAAGCCAGGTATCTGCCAACGTGAGTGTGTCCCGCATTATCACGTCCGAGCTGAGGCGGAATTTGACGCCGTCCGAACTATTTTCTGAACTGCTGGTGTCGCCGTCCTGAGTTTCAGAAGCAGCATGAGCCTCACTGCCTTCGGCGCTGGCGGCAGTGCCGGCCGGAACCCATATGATGAGGCTTTTGCTGGTGGTCATTTGGTAAATGGATTTCCAAAGGACGACGAAGACTTGATTGATGGTGTCAAAGAGGCAGGTGCTGGAACTGGGAACGTGTCCGACAAGTTCGCCGGGGTACAGACTGGGCCACTGCGCCTGATAACGCTGCGCCGTGACGGCTAGATCGTCGTCAGCCTGATCCAGGTCCGTATAGACGGAGTAACTGGTCCGGAAAGCATTGAGCATTTGCGAAGAAAGAGAGTGCTCAACACCACGACAGTGATTGCCCATGATATGCAACTGTGAACGACGTGCTCGCGGCTGCAATAAACCCGCAGAAAGCACCGTGAACCAGTTCGAGCCCTTGACGTACGCATCACTGCTGACCACACGCCAGTAACTGTTCGTATCATACCAAGGCGAAATAGTATGAAATAGCGCCACCCATGGCGAGGAAGGAGAGAGCTTGAGCCAACTTGCAAAGTCTTGGAGCAGCGAGGCTGAGTACGAAAGCAAGTGGGGCGCATCAATGTGCTCCACTCCCGCCCATGCTACGTCCATCCCCGCCCGTTCCACTACCACTGTGCCGCCCGACAACACCCCTGCCGGCGACTCGTCTCGTGTCACATCTCGCAGCCACAAGTAAATTGGCGACTGTGATTGGAACGGCATGCGGATACTAAAGCTCTTGCCCGTGTCCAGAAAGCCCGAATGCTGCCTTGTCCAACCACTCAGTTTGATCGAACTCCCGTCCCGAACCACCTCCTTCAAGTCATATGCCTTGAAAAATAAACGGGTCGCTTGTCTTTCTGACAAACTGACATCCATTGGAATCGATCCCTGGATGTAAATCGGGGCCGTCTTGGATTCAATCTGCAAAGCGTGATCCGTTCGGTAGTCGTACGCTGCCGGGTCGCCATCCAGTGCTAAAAATAGGTAGCCATCCCGCAACTTGAACACCATCTTCTTCGACTCAATTGGCCGTGACGAAAAGTCTATATTCGCATGTAAAGTAGTGATCTCAATCAAATTCTCCGCACGAATCGCAACCTTGGACTGCAAATGGATAAAGTCCTCGCTCTCCGACGCACGAATCACCAAGGAGTCGAACTTGTACGTGTCGGACAAGTGGAAACGCACGGAACATATCTCTTCCGGGTGCCCCGACTGTACCGACTTCATGCTAATCAACAAGTGCCGCTCGTCGACGTACCGCCAGGTCTCGTACAGTTTATTCGACAGATTCCGGTTCCGCCACTTGGACGTATCATTCGTGGCTGTGGCCGGGGTTGCGGTCGCAGTTAAGGTTGCTGTCCTGGCCGCAACTGGCTGGGAAGCGGCCGTTGATCGCGACTCCGAGGCGGCCGTGTGCAGCCCATTGCTGTGCGATTTGTGTGCGGTCGGGTCCCCAGTCTTCCCAATGCTGGAGGTGGTCTTGATAGTCTTCCCAAAGGTGGTCGTCTGGCTACCAGATGTGACTGCCTCGCCTTCCACGGGTCGTGGGATCGGCGTCTGTCGAGTGGCGAGTTGCGTTGTGGTGGTGGGTCGCGGGATGTGTGCCAGAGGACCGAACAGTTGCCGGGGCGGGGCCGAGTCTGTTCGTGCGGTTAGTCGTCGTTTCTGCTTGTCGTTAATGGCGGACGGGAAGAAAAGGTTCCACCAATGATTGCCGGAGGCGGTGGGGGCGTGTTGGGAGTGTTGCGCTTGTGCATAGAAAGCCGATTGGGCGGCGTCGAAATCCGCGGTACCGTCTGCGAGTTCGCTGCCCCAGCCGTAGAGAGTGACGAAAGACTGGGGCGAATTGGAGGGAGTGAATTCGACTTGGCAGTTGTCGAGCCAGAGACTGACATGTGCACCCGGATGTAACGATATGACTTCGTGCACGACCGTCTTCTTCAGGTAGTGTAGTACGCCTGCGATCACGAGCGCAACCACCGAGGCTGCAACCAACCCACTTACAATCGACACGCGGTTCCGAGAAACGCAAATTGGCAACGTTGGCCTCGCTACCACCACCGCTGCCGCACCCACCGAGATCACTCCGCCACTAGAACCAGCCGGGGTATTCCCACCCTCCAACGCCGTACCACGCGAGGGGGCTGGCGCATACTCACTCTCTGCGCTTGATTCATTTTTCATCTGGAAACGAACGATCTGCCAGCCCACAAATCAAATCCGGAGCTACTTTATCCTAGACGTCCGTATGTACGCCCACAGACGTACAGACACCACCCGACGGACCAGACCACCGTGTAGAACGGCCCTGAGAAAACACGTAACAGCCTCCACACATTATGACGCTATTATAAGGCCACAATTGTAGAGCACCCGGGCTGCCTCGGAAAGTTAGGTTTGAATTGGGACGGACCCTTTCTGCCAGTGGGCCCCGATATTTGGCGCCGCGAGGTCCGTTGGTACTGGTGGCGTGTTGTTTGTAAAAAAAGTTACTCGACTTGAGCTTCGGCATCCTCGGCTTGGGATTCAGCGTCTTCGTCATCGTCGGAGATGCCGTCATCCTTCTTGCGATCGTCGTTGGTGAGACGGTGCATGAAGAAGTCGGGCATGACATCCCAGGCTTCGGCGCGGGGTAGGAGTCCCTTGAGGTAGCGGACTTCGCGTGCGAGTAGCCAGAACATGAGGCCAAGTGCCTGGGCGCCACGGTTATTGCAGGGGATGGCCACGTCGACATACTGTAGCGGCGAGTCGGAAGTGCAGAAGG